CATATCTATATATATATATATATATATATATACCATAAAGATTTTCAAGATTTTTTTATTTCTTTCTGAAACTAAAATTGACGATTCAATTAGGTTCTAAATTGAATTGTGAAAAAGTTTATTGTATTATTTGGTAGAATCAATCTTCTGATAGATAATTGAATTCATTGAAATTTCTCTATTTGTTAGGGTTCTTGAGAATTTGAGATATGTTAATTGATGTGTGATTTCATGAATTAATGAGGAATAATGTGTTTTTTGATAAAAATAAACATTTCTGGCTTATTGGATTGATAAAAGGATGTGTGCATGTTTGATCATGAGTCTTGGTGATGTTCTATTTGTAGTGCATTTTCTAGAAAGTGCATTGGCGTTAGGCTTACATTCATACCGATGAATGTGAAGCCCAAGGATAATCACATCGAGCGTTAGATGTATCATGCCAGGCGTGATAACACGGTGAGCTCTTTGTGGCTCCTTAATTAGCAATGAGCGAAATTGTGATTTTCCCGAGTGTGAGATTGTGTGTGCTCTCTATTATGGCTTAAAGTTGGACCCAGCTTGGTGAAGCTCAATGCAGAATACGAATAGGATATATATATGAATTGCAATGTTTGAGGGTTAGGGTTATGAAATTTGGGAGTTTTGACTTAAATGAATGAATCTGAACAATTTGATGATGTTGTGTTGTTATATGAACGTTCTTTAATTTTTTCACTGATTAGATTGTGGAAAAAAAAACTATATGATGGATTTTGATGAGTCTGGGAGAACTTAGATTGTAAAGTGCAGAATCTACAATGGCGCCAAATGCAATAAACAAATTCTCGCATTGGACATGAAGGGGTCATGTCAGGCTTAGAGATGAAAAGAAGTCTCTGACATCTTTGTGTTGGGCAAGGGAGGTCTTGCTCGATGCCAAGTTGATGTCATTTTTTAGGAGGAATGATGCCAAGAGTGACCTAGATCACATTGTGCAATGTGGTTCCATAGGGGTCTTTGACTCTTCAAGGTTGGGTATGGGAGTAACCACATTAGGCATAATTTAGACAAAAACGTTCTTAACCTTTTCACACTAGGCATGAACATTACCACGTTGGGCGTGAATCTAATAGAGAGATCTTTGGTCTCTCTACACTAAGCGCGAGTTCTAGCTCATCAGGCAACATGCCATTATCAAACCAATTATGTTTACAAATATAATTCAATAGTAGAGGAGTTTGTGAGGAGTGGTTAATGTTAGAATTTAAAGAAGAAAAAATGAAGTTAGTATTGGTGATAAAACCAAGAAAAGATAGGAAGATAAAAGGAGAGATTATAATTGTATGAATTCAAGTGTATGATATGATGTATTATGAATAAATAATGATGATATTATAATGATGCATGATGATGATGTATGATGATGAGGTATGGTGATGTTGATGAGATGTGTATGTCTAGGCTGTAGTTGAAAATAATAAAATTAAAGCAAGGCTTCATATGTTGTGAAAAAGTCCAAACTATATGGTCTAGCAAAACCACCAAGTTGGTAATTGCATTTGTTGTGGTGTGGTATTGTTCTGTGTAGAGTCTATGCATTGCATACTTTCTTTGGTGAAGCGGTATGAATCTATATAATCTCTATGATCATCTACCTAAACCTTGTGGATGTTATGGTAGGGAACCTTTTGCGTGAGTATGAGGTAACCGTGGTCGACTATAACGCTTCGATTAGTTCTTGATAAATATTACCTAAGGTTAAGGGGAGGTTAAGATTTTTAAAAGAGCAAATTTATGATCAAACTCATTTTTACACCTTCTTATGTACGCACTTCTTTCACACTTCAGAGCTCGGAGGACAAGAGTAGCAAGGAAATCAT